ATATATGCAAGAGTAAGCATTGATGGACAAATAAATGCACCGACGAAGATTTGTAGACGAAGAAATGCGGACGAAGAAATGTCATGCGAGGATTCGTTCGGGTACCATGACATTTATGTGATTTCAAAGTCAAGGTTCACAGCTGATCTGCAAAATCAAGCCAAGAATCCAAACTATCGAAAAACTATAAATATTTGTTTGTCTGTCACAGAGGTCTCAAGCAATATAAGGTTGACATATGTTGAATCAAAAATCTACTGCCACAACTCACATCTCCTGCCTTAGTTTATCATTGTTGTTTTAACTTGCTTTCAAGAGAAACAGAAGCCAGTATCTGATATCACTTCAGATGATTGTTTCAAGATCTGAGTTCAAATGGAATTAAAAGCAAGATCAAGATGAAACAGGGATTATTGCTGTTAAAGTAGTTTGGCCATGATACAACAGGCACATAAATCATTAGCCAAATCAAATACTGGTTGGTTTGTCAAGATGTTTGTTGTCTGTCGTCTGTCGAGCTGCTATGAACACTGAACGCTCTCACTCTTACTTTAAAGAGAGTAGTTTAAGTTGAATGGTAGTGAGCTGTAATTAGACAAAGCAGCTATTCAGTGCTCACATCAAGCCAGGCTAGGAAATGGCATCAACTGTGGTGGGAGGAAGCAGGTTCGGCAGGCCTATGTTGTAAACTTCTGTTGTGTCTTGTGTTTGATCAATTGATGTTTTCTGCTCTGTTTTGTGCAGTGATAGTAGCAGGTAACTGCATGCTTGTCAAATTATGTGAATAAACGAATTCATAACATTGCATTTTTCTCTCAATGCAAGGAACAAGTAAGATGTAGAAAATGTAATAGAGGGCTGCATTGCTGATTTCATGCACTTTATCAGAGCTTTATTTAGAATTGCTTTCCTGAAAGCTACACACAGGCCACAGCACTGAAATTCACAATGTCATAGCTTTTGGCAGAAAAAAAAGAAAAGACTTGCCTAGGTAAAATTGGCTGAAAGTATGGCAGAGCAGGTCTTGATGCGTATGCCCATCCGTGTGCTTGCCGAAGCCGAACTGACTGCAACACATTAACTCTGACCCACCATGGTGGCTGGCATATCCTGAACTTTCACCACTCTAAACAAGACAACTTTCAGCCCTCAGCATTGTATTAAAACACTGTACATGGCAGTTGACACTCAAAATTTGTTTCAGTGCCATCCACGGACAACATCAGTCGCCATTCACCAGGCCAGTAAAAACAGAATAGATAATAGCTTCAAACCCATGTAGTCAGAGTTACTAGGTCTGCACCTCAAAACAAAATCCAGGTGACATTCACCACGCCAGTAAAAAAACAGGTACCTAGGTACTTAGGTAACGTAACAGCTTCAAATCTGGTAACATGTTGGTCGGACGTAACACTACCATATGTACAGTCTGTCTTAAAAGTACCGCGCAAAGTGGCGGTGGATCCATCGAGCCTGACTGAGGAAGGGCCTGCTAAATTTGGGTCACCGAAGCAATGGACATCCTCGTCCATTCCCCAGCTCAATTGGTTCGGTGACTTTCAAATTAAAGCAGACCTTTCTCGGTCAGGCTTGATGGATCCACCGCCACTTTGCGCGGTACTTTTAAGACAGACTGTACATGGAATAATATGATACCAAACAATAGTGCAACCATTCTGGACAACAAAAGTGTATGATAAAATTAATTTAGAATACTTTGGCAGCATGATTTACGAGCACAGGCAGGTGTTACCTACCAGCCTTCTCAATGCTCGTAAAACCAACATTGTAGTTTTGATTTTACCTTACATGATAACACACTTGGCTGCAATGGCACATTTAATTTAACACTGTGAAAAGACCAGTTATAACCACTTCACAAGCACAATTGCACCTCATGCCGACATCCTTTTCCAAAGACAGTCAGCAGCGTCTTTCGTCAAAACTGGAAGATCAATCCCCTTTCAACTGTTAACATCAAAAATATTTCTTCATGGTGTGATCTCCTATGGAAACCTTGCGGGAAAAGAATTAATGTCAATTGTCAGCTCTTCAAATTTCTTTGGACTTAAACTTGCAGTACCATATCCAGTTTGCTTTGATATTTTGTTTTTCATTCCATGTTGAAGTTGAACACCAAGCTCCAGATATAGCAGGCAGCTTGATCATCTTCGGCCTTGGTATAATATCAGTCCAAGTTCCAGTGGTGGGTATCATCTAATATTCAAATTAAAATGAAAAGCAATAGGCTTTCTCAGCGCCGACGACGGATTTCACGATGATAAAAAAGGGAGCTCAAGGTCAGCAAAACTCGGGTTCAAGGAATGGCGGGCGTTGAAATGACTGCTGACGTCATCAACAAACCGCTAATGGTTAAGAGATAGGGACTAAGCTGGTCCCACCCTGCAAGTAAAGGGAAGAAATTTCTTGAACACCATAAAGCTGCGGGGGTTGCGACCAGGATAAATGGTGGTTTCTGAGCCTGGCCGCAAACTTGGCTATCTCAACTCAAAACTAATGTTAAGGTGGGATGGTCCCTTTAAATATTATCACCCGCCCACCACGAACCCCACTTCCCTGGCAGTTGGTTCAGCAAACACACCAAGCCGTCCGTCTCCACAGGTCGTCTTCGTTAGCGCCCTTGGCGGCTGAAGTTGAGTGAATGACAGCAATAAACTGGGTCTATTTTTACCATTCACAACACGACAGCTTTCGCTCAGCTTTCTACCCAAGCTACCAACCGCTGAAGCCATAGCGCACGAATCGGGCCGTCTGCTGTCCGCTGCTGCCGCCTGGCGGCAACTGGAGAAACTACTGATCTCCGCCGCGCTCGGTCCCGCTCGCCGCACGTCAACAAGGCAAAATTGCAGTGCCGACCGAACCTATACACGAGCCTGATGACTTTGGGCACGCGCAAACGGGCAACAACAAACGCTGGCCGCCGTCAGAGCGACGCGGCACGGCCATGACAGCAGAGGCAATCAGCCGAAATTGCGTCGGCAAATGACAGAATCATGTTGTTGCTTCCGTTGTTTTGATAAGATGTCGGCGACTGGTGGGTCCGCATTCGGTCGGCATCAGCAATTCCGGCGGACGACGCACGACAAATCGACCAATGATCGCTGACAAGGAAACGCAATTTACGCTCTCCTGTACGCCGACCGAGCGGGCGAATCGACGCGGCGTCACCACGGGAAACAAGCCCGTATCGACAAGGGGCGGCAGGGATAGTGTTTTGTTACTGCGTTGCAGTCGCCGGCCACCGAGAGACAGCCGAGCATTGCGGCACAGCATATTACAACTGAGCAGGCGGAGCTACTAAGCCTAATGCAAGTGGTGAAACAGGGCTCACGCAACGTATCCTAGAATTAGCAAAGCTGAAAAAGATGTGCGCATCTATTCTTGGAATTTAAAAGTGAAAAACTTTCACATAACCAAAAATTAATTTCAATTCAAATATGTTTTGCAATGTCGACAAAGCCTTGGCATCGTTGCCTGCACGTTATACGATTATGTTTATGGACAACTTTTGTTGTCACCAAGATAGGCACATTGTTGTGGTTTCTTTGTTTGAAGGTCGAATAAGCCAACGATTGATGTGTGACTAAGGGACTAACGGTTGGTTTTGCGATAGAATAGCATTAGGGAGCAGTAAATATTCACCAACTATTTCAGCTTAAGCTGATTTAACTGTTGACATTGAGCCTTTTTAACACGCGCAGTGGAAGGGTTGCGAGTACTACGCCCAGTGGAAGGGGGGGGGCGGATGTCGCCCCCCCTAAGATCTCAGCTCCCACTGGAGCTAGAAAGATGAAATTTGGAGGGTAGGTGGGGGCTATGGGGAACTCTGTTGTGTGTGAATTTCATGACCCTAGGTCAATGTCTTCAAGGTCAAATGAGGTCAAATTTGGTCAAATCTGCCATATTAGCGACTTTTTTGCGTTTACACGCCGATAACTCAAAAAGTTACCGGCAGGTTTTCTTTAATCTTTCACTATACGAAAGAACAAACATTTGTGAGTATGTATGGTGAATTTATAGATAATCCAACAATAAATATGGCAGTTAGAAGCCTGCTAAGGGTAAGATGTCGCCGGCTGAAGCGGGATCGGCCGACGCGGGAAACGCGGCAATCACAATTTTGTGTTTACACACTCATAACTCAAGTTGTTACCGGCCGATTTTCAAAATTCTTTGACCATATGATTGCCTGTACATTTCTCAGTCTTCTCACCGAATTTGACGCGAATCGAATTTAATCAGCGGTAAGGAGCGCGATGTAAAGACGGAACCGTCCCGCCCCGGCACAGTCTACAATTCAGGCGGAGCGTAACGGCTAGCGCCGGCCGCCGCGCCGCCGCGGCGCCGCGGCGGCAGGTTGTTTGACTTTACACCGCTATTACTAGAAAAGTGGTGAACCGATTTTCTTACTTCTTGCACGAGAAGATCTGCAATTCAATTCTGGACAGGTAGCCGAAATTTCACATTGATATCATGCTTGCGGCGCGAGTTATTGGCGAAAAACAGGAGGGGTGGGCGAAATCCGCCCCCCCCCCCCCTTCCACTGCGCGTGTTAAGCGATAACGCTTCAATAATTACTCAATAAAATTTCACCGTTGTCAAAAGAGCCAGGCCAACTGCTTAACTCAATGCTATTCACCAGCGGCCCGTAATCCCCGCGTGAGAGCGCATCCCTTTCATTCGCCCTCTGCGACCACCCACTCTGAAATTCCGCGCCCGGTGCCCGGTGGCATGAACAATCCAACACCTCTGGCCGGATCCGCGCCAGCGATTCGGCGCACGTCGCGGGCCGGCCGGGCGGCCGCTCGCGGCAGCCCGTCCCTGTCGGCTTTTTCCCACCACCGCGCTGCACATCCGCTTTGCATGCATCATCCCGCGAATCAATAGTTGCCTCTCCGGGCTCTGCGCCGGCCGCCGGCCGGCGGGGGCAGATTTGCCTCGGTCGCCTTCTCTTGTCGGACAAGGCCCGCCAACAAAAGTGGCTCTGTCAGTCGGCGGCGCCGGCCGCGCTGATTGGTGCGCTGGGCGCGCGCCGGTCGGTGGGCGGGGCCTGGCCGCCGGAAAACTCGCGCTCAAATCATAATCAATTGAGGTGCAAACGCGTTTTTCTGCGCGCCGCCGCCGACACGGCCGCTCGGTGTCAGTACCTGTCCGGAGGCCAGAGCGCGAGCACCGGCAGCGGCGGCACCACCGAGCGAGCCCATTGGTCCCCCGGCAGCGGCAGCGGCAGCGGCAGAGCGGGCGGCGGCGACAGTCGGCCGCCGCGAGTCAGCGCGAGAAGAGAGTTGGGAGAGCGCAGCGGCGTGCGGAGAGGAGACACGGCGCGACAGGAGACGTCCGCGGGCGGAGACACGGAGAGAATGTCTCAGTTCGCCATCAGCACTGCCTCACCGGGGCCGGTAAGTCAAAGAGGGGAGCTCTGTGAGTGACGCATTGTGGGAACGCAGTGATATTGTGTTACATAAAAGAAGGTGTGTGAAGGTGAAGGAAGAGCAGCGTCGGCATCTGATGGATGACGTCCTCATCAAAACCCATATTTTATTTTAGCCTAAATTTTTCAGCTATAATTATATTAATCTCCGAAAATTGTTAGGTAACTGATTGTGCAAATATTCTGGTCACAGGTCAGTTGTTACATCATAAATATGGTGTTATCAGCTAATACCGTTTAGCGTACGGTTGCATATGATTTATTAGTTAGCACAGAACCACACCTGTTAAATTACTTTGGTGGTAATTCATCATCGCATACATGCATTGCATAGCCGCTCCGCCACCAACCTGGAGTCTCTCCAGGCCACCCCGCCTCTTTCGCGCCCTTGTAGACCCACCGTGTCCACCCCACTCCGTGCGTGCCCGGCGCTACCATGTTCATGCGTCCGGCTCGACATTAATGAGCTCCGACGGCCGCGTCGGACGGGTCGCAACGGCATCAGTCGCGATCGCCATCTTTACGAGGGGCTGTCGCCGCCAGCGGCATTCACGCCGGTGGTCGGTGGGGAGGGTCGGCCGCCGTAAAATATACCCCACCAGCCGGCTCCGACGGGACGGTGCGGGCCGGTCTGCGAGAAATTGCGCCGAGATATGCGTCAGGATCAGCCAGTACAAGGGCTTGTGGGAGGTGATAGTAATTGGATTCTGATGTCACATGATAATCAGATGGCTGGTAGCTCAAACCGGGGTGTCCGGTTGGGTTCCGTTACAATCTGGGTGTGTAGCTGATTGCGATTTCTTGTCATTGTGATATCGATACAAGCCGGATCACTAAATAATCATGTAACTGGCCCATGCGTCAGGTATCTATTCGCCGACATGTCTGTAGGTAGTTGGTGTAGTTTCGCAATCTTTTGAGGGTGCCTCGCCATGGTAATTGAGATATCCGTTGAGCGCATTGCTCTATAACACCCACTATGAATGGTGGCAAGTTACGCCCGCGTAGTCAGACGCGCTTGTAGTTGCATTACTATTTCATTCCTGGCGCGGACAAAGAAACAGCGTTCTGTTCATGAATTGTTGACGGAACTAGAATATATGAGCAGAGTTTGAAAGAACATTGAGCGATGCTACCAACTTGCTAACTCGCCGTGAAACAAGTCTTGACTTTCAAAACTTTCCTGATAAAATATTTGCACACATGTTACAAGTGTACTGCGTAGTGCGTAGGCACATCATGCACAACAGTGGCTAAATATATCCCTCGAAGCGCTCGCTGCTGTCTCGGCCGTTTAACTGGGACGCTTCCATCGCACACGACCACCGAAAAGTGGCATGCAAATTAATTCATCCCGTGTCATTAGTCACTTTGCATAACGCAGTATAGCATTAGCGTCTCGCTGCATCCATCAAGTGGGGGCAATTTGCATGCATGCAACCGTTTAAGTACAATGACAACATTAGCCGGTGCCTTGTTTCATTACAGTAACTGTCCATTTTCAAAGACGCTGCTAACTAATTACAAATTAAGTTAGCTGATAATATTAACCTGCATTCATCATTACAATAAGGAATAAATAATGTATTTATCTTGGTCGCACGGTGTGGGACTCTATTTTAGCCGTGTGTTCATTCGTCAGCGCGGTATCAGTAACACCCTTTCTCACCGCGCGCCACCCGCGTTACATAGCGACGTCAACATCTCACCGAAAACACACACAATCTGCATACAGGCCGACGTCGACCGCTGAGCAATATCTCTCCATCGCGCGGCCGGGCCCGGCGCTCCCCGGCACCCCGGCGCTCCCCCGGCGCTTCCCCGGCGATCCCCGGCGCCCGGGCTGTCTCTCAGCCTCCCTTCCCAACCACTACCCTGGCCGTCTCCACACCCAGTCCCTCCTCTCGCGAATCGGACCAGGGCCGGCGGCCGCGGTGCGATCTGGCCCATCCGTCAGCTGCGGGGGCCGCGGCCGGGCCGCCCCCGCCGAGCCGTTCCCAGGCTGGTCGGACACGGGTCGTACCGTTCCGCCGCGCCGGGCCGCCGCGCCGAGCCGCTCTGTCCGGTCGCATATTCATGTCTCGGCTGGATGTCATTACAGGTACACGTGTTTCGAGCCGGACGGGTCGGCCCACGGTCAGATTCATTCATGGGAGTGTCCACACGGCGGTGGCAGCGGCGGGGGAGCGGCGGGTCGGGCGGGCGCATTGGGCGGTGATTTCGGCCGCGCGGGTCCCGGCCAGCGCGACAGCACGGTAGAAAGATGGGATAGCAGATCAGTTGATAAGTCCCACCGCAGTGCCCGATAATGGTGATACATATGTAGTTACAGTGAGTAAGGATGTTGCTTGGCTAGTTCATTTATTCTCCATTCGACGTCCGACGTATACCCTGCTGGTTGGACGTTTTAATTAAGAGCTTGTTATCTTATCTTGACGCTAATCTGGTGCCGAGTTGGCTTACTTATTTTGGAGGTGAGGACTGAGAGCAGCAATAGTCATGCATCTGGATTGACGGCATATATTTAAGAGATCATTTTTCTTGCAATTTATATAGTTAAATGGAAAGCATTTTACATAGTGCGTTGGAATGCAGTGCAAAGCATTACGACATAACTTTAGCCCAGTGCAAGGCACCTTAAATCAACTGCATAAGGTACACACCTAATTCTAAATATTCAGTGTTTTGTCTAACCACCGGTAGTCTCCATTTGTTTATATTCTCTCTCATTACATAAGTTCATGAGCAGACAAGATCCGTCCAATTCGCACCATTAGCGCGTCACTCCATTACATCGGTAACGAGGCACATTTATCGTTGCAGCGCGGTTAAAACACCGGCCCTCCATTCTTTCTTGGCTGGCCTGTCAGAGTGCGGTGCCGGGCCGATCTGTAAGGCGTATATGTGCGATAAGAACTCCCATTAGTCACTCTAAGTCGACTCCAAACCGGATTAAGACTTTATAGGCCAGTGCAGGGCTGGGTGACTTGGATGGCCGCCACCGTCACTGCCTGCCGCTACCGCCGTCCCTTCGACTCATCCTAACGGCGCAAGGAGCTGTCAACCCGAAAAGAAGGAACAGCTATTCAGAACATCGATCAGTGATTGTGAATTTATAAAGAACACCATGACTCACACATAGCAGTTGCAAGTAACGGCGCACTCGACTTTTCCAGATTGGTCACAACGGTTCAGGCATACACCTATTCAGACAAGAGTCCATTATATTTTTACATTAGGTCATCCGGTGCTGTCTGCCGACTGGGCTGACGTCCGCACGGTGTCCGGGTTAAAAACGTCCTCCCATCGTGTCCCGGTAGGAGCCCTGTCTGGTAATCTCTCTAAGAGCATGCCGTAGCTGCATGTTTTCATGCAGTAAAAGCCTGTGAGCTGTCACGGGTAAAGATCGTGCATTTTTAAGACGCTGATATGTAGTCGATGGCTTTCAACGTGGCCGGCAATGGCGGTGTGGTTCCAGTTATGGTTGTAGCAGTGACGTAATCTGGCGGTGGGGCTGATTTATTGCCTGGTTTGTGAATGGCCTTACCACTCGGCGGAGGCTCTATTCTTATCACTTGGCCCGAGTCGACGTTATGGCGCGTCGTGGCCTGTAAATCTGATGGCCCAGACGGTGCTACGACATGTCCGCTTAATCGGCTCTGAAGGAGAGACCACGGCGGACGCTCCCCCGCCCGCCTCTCTCTCTCTCTCTCTCTCTCTCTCTCTCTCTCTCTCTCTCTCTCTCTCTCTCTCTCTCTCTCTCTCTCTCTCTCTCTCTCTCTCTCTCTCTCTCTCTCTCTCTCTCTCTCTCTCGCTCTCTCTATCCCCCTGTTTTGTCTCGATTCCCTGCTCGGGAGACCCCACGACGCCTCACGACACCGACAATCACGACTCACGACAAGAACTCTACGCCGCGCTCGACGCTCCCACACCGGCACGACACGGTCACCTGACACCAGCGTGATACTCATCCCACACAGATGACCAATCGTGTCACCTTCATTTTCACCCTGTGACAGCTAACGACGTGCGGTGGTAACCTGCTCCGCCCTCACCCATCTCCAGTTGCGTCATCAAGCGTAGAAGAGGTCGTGTCGTAACACGGATGCCCGGTAGTGTTGGGCACGTCATCCGAACCCAAACCTCTCTGAGGTCTCGCCGATGCATTGGGTGGAGGCCGTCGGCGGCCTTTCAATCACACAGGTCGCTGGGTTTGATTCAGACTCGCCCTGGGTCCGGTAGGGTGGTGCCAGCACTGATATAGTGAGCCCCACGTTGGCCCGTTCTCAAGCTGTCATAGGTACACCGCTACCGCAGATCGCGCTGCCCATGATCGGCCGACCGCCCGCCGGCCAACCACAGGCGACAACATCGCCGAATATTTATTTGCTTATTTGCCTGACAAGCGAGACAGGTGTCTGCATATGTATTCCTGTTGAATGCCAATCGGCAGGCTCGTAGCTCGAATGCTGCTAATGCCGCTCCCATGTGTGACGCATCGGTTTGGAGAATGTAAAAAGCGACATTGAGCGACCTCAGCCAGCAGGGGAGCAGGGGTCCTACTGTGACGCACCCCTGACGCCGCCTCTGCTGACCTGCCTCTTCTCCTCTCCCACAGCACCTGGCACCGCCCCTGGCGACCTCGTCGCCCCTGGCGGCCAGTCCTCCGGGCGCCAAATGCTGCGACACGGGCCGTGTACTGTACACGGATCCCGTGACGGGCCACTCTGTGTGCTCGTGTCAGTACGGCGCTCCGAGCAGCCACCACCTGCTGGCGTACCAGCGACTGGCCTCGGCCGGCCTGCCGGGACTGATGTACGGCTGCGACTCAGCCTACCTGCAGGCGCTGCAGGCGCAGGCGCAGGCACCCCCGGCTCCGGTGAGTGTGCACGCGCGCAGGCGAATTTGGCGGTCCTTGCGGATGTGGGAATTTTCCTTTGTAGCGTGGAGGGAAAGGGCTGTTAATTTTGTGAACGGCGGCTCCTTACCATATGATATTTGTATCATATCATCATTGTGATATTTCTTTGCTTTGTTTGCAGGTTTGAATTAACAAAAAAATGTTTATTGAGATCCAATTGTCTTTTTGCTGTATTGTCCTTTCTTTACTGAAATCAATTAATAAAAATTTATCAAGAATCACAGTCATTTTCACACCCAATAGACAACAGACGCCAGTCTAAGTGAACCCGTTACCCGACCTAACCTGACCTGACCTGACCGTCTGTTCTTTCCTCAGGGTAAGGAGAGCTCTGTGCCTCTGGCGCCTCCGACCCTGGGCGCGCCCGGCTGGCCGTACGGACTCTACTACCCGTACGGAGAGGCGGCACTCTCACCTTACGGACTATCGGCTGGGTGAGTTCACAGGGGAGACGTGGGGTTGGGGAGGGGGAGATGTCTGTGGTGGTAGCCCGACTGGGTGGTCTGGGACTGGTTTGTTTGAAGATATCTTTCCCACTGGACACAGGGATAGTTGTGTGACGACTGGCGGTTACCTGGACATAGAAAGCGCAAGAATGGTTCTACGTTACACGGGTCGCATTCATACGGGAGAGTCAACACTGCGTATTTGCCCATTTTGGTTCGTGTAATATGTCAACTGCGCATATTTGTTTTACGTCATGGCTAGTCGCAAAACAAGCCTCTGGTGAAAGGGTAACCCATGTTTGTACTCATGCCTGAAGACAATTACGCAAAGGTATTGTGGGGATAATCATACAAGCCAACATCGCGGTAAGATTCAATACCCCGCAACACGACTGCTGCATTAGAAATCGTGTTATTATGATTAACAAATAGACAATGACACGTTGAAAGCTAATGCGAACATTGAATGCCTTTGTTGTCTGCAAGCCTCGCTAATGGAACTGCATTGTACTTGCTTCTCGTGAGCTATCCGAATTCTTAGGCACTTCGATCACTGGCAGAGGGTTTTAGATAATTATTCTAACATAAGCGTTCCGTGTCGTCTAAATTCATTATTGTCCTATAAAATACAAGTGGTTATGTCGACCTTCTAGAAGACAGTTTCGCAAAAGTGTGTTATTCCTGGAATTCGTTGTCTTTTTTTCAAATATTTCAAACCACTTAACCGCAACCCTAAAGCACTGAACCATTTATTCTGTTGCACCTTAGCGGTATGTGCGTTGAATGTGCCCACGTCTGCTTATAACGCAAACACCATTATGTTTAACGGACAACACGATACTTGTTTTACTCGACGGTTAGGCTGAACACAGGTCTCTGAAGGCACTCAATCGACCGCTCAGTGTACTGGTAGGGACTGCGGGGCGGATTACTAGCAGTCACGGTCCCCCGGCATGGCACACGCACAAGGGGGGGGGGGGGATCCATCCAACATGGCTTCCGCCTCGCTATCGGCTCCGCACTACGCACCAGTCGGAGGCTGACGTCTATGACAATTATGTTTTTTGACGTGAACATTACAAAATGAAGTATGTAAACCTACTGGATATTCCATCTGTGCTCTTGGGGCAATCATTCGCTTTGTACGGTTCCCTGGAAACCTCTGTTGCATCTTGTTCTTATTTGTTACTCAGAATATTAGCTGACGAGCTGTAAAATCACACCTGAAATTCACACGCCGCTTAAGTAACACAATGGCTGGAACAGTGAGGTCCTGTCCCAAAACGTGGCCATCATTAGCGTCTGAGCGTCAAAACACCGGCGCCTGCTGGTAGGTGAAAATATACACCAAAACCCACACCAGTCCCAATTACCCACCGAAAAACCGCCTTCCGGCCCAACACCTACCAATCACCTGCCAATTATCCCTCCCCGCCCTCTCCCTACCCCTCTCCCTCCGCGCCCCTGTCTGTCCCCCCATCCCCCGGCCAGTACCGCGCCAGCCCCAGCCCCGCCGAATGTCGCGTCTGCCGGGTACAGCGGCCTTCGCGGCGAGCTCGCCGGGAGTGCGGCGTAAGTGGCGTGCGCGCAGTGATGGCCGCCTTCCCAGGCACATCACCAGCTGCTGATTGTTATTTATGTTTTCACACACGGCGGCGCGGCGCGCGCTGGTTGCACGGTGCACGCAGAGCCTGTCTCTAATTGGTCGGCTGGTTGTTCCTCTCGGCTGGGGCTCTGCCAGAGCGGTAAACATTGAACAGGCTGGGCGGAGCGCCAGTGAGGGTCATTACCTCGTCCTGGTGCGACTCCGGCGGACATGACAGCGGTGTGATACACAGCGAGGGATGACGTCACGTCAAGGAATGGGATGACGCCACGTCATCTACCTGGATGGCAGCTGAGAACCGCCATCACATGACTGGCATCGAGCTGCCGGAACAGATTGGTTTAGTAGGGAGTTAGACTCGCTGTAAATAAAACAGAGATAGTAATTATGTGGCACTAGATAAGCGGTGTGGCGTGTTACGATTCAGATACGCATCATTCAGGTGATGGTTTCAGCTTCACATTGACAAAAATCACATAAAAACAGCCAACCGTGCACGGTTAATATTCTTTTTTCGTTCGGGCTGCTCACTACTTTGTTTCTTTAAACTCATCAGTAGATAAGAACGTTCAATTCGCTGCCGCCGGCTCCCAATAATTGACTTTCGAGGCAGGGTAGTTACTTTGAGCATGTCTCCATTTACGTTGAATGTCATTGACACCTCACTGAAATGCCGACCCACTCTGATTAATGTTTTCGGTGGGAGATTTTATAAAAGTTCATTAGGCCCGGTTAAGTGCCTTAATTTACTTTCTGCCTTGGTACGTCATTTTACGCTATTTCGCTGCATTGTCACATCTCTGATGACATTTCAAGTTACGACGTGCGCCTTTGTTGCAATGACACTCATTTTACCTACTCATTAAGTTCACGTCAGCTGCGACTTTTCGCTCCGGAAAATGTCCTAAACTCTTACTGAGACCGCCAAGTTTGAATTGGTCCGAATTGCACTCAAAGCTGTTTCGCAGTCTTTCATCTGTCACGCCTTTGATGCAAGTTTATTCTGTAGTGCTTTCATGGTTACTGGACAGGTTTTTAATTTCAGCGCTTTCTCGTTCTCGCCAGCTTGAGATTTCGCGGCATAACTGCCTTTCCACTGGCTTTTAAAATACAGAGTAGTCAATTTATGCAGAATGCGTGAAAAATTTGTATGAGAAAATGAATTCTCTCCTTCAAGAAGTGAGCTAAGATGATTATGCTGGAATCAAAATAAGATTATGGTCGACTGGCATTATTAAAATGAGCTGGCTTCGCCACGTTATTTTGATAAGGCATAGATTGGAACAATCTCGCCTGTGCTGCAGAGTGGAAAGGAGAGAATTTACAAACACAGAGCTGCGTTTTTAAAGAGAAGCCATGATATCTCCGTGTGGCAGCTTAATTGCAGTTGCATCAGTTTCGCTTAAATACGATTGCTATGCAAGTTAGGGGCTACAGATATTTGAGTTTATAGAAAATTAGCAGGTCGTCTCTTGCTTACCTAAAAGCTACATTGCTACCTGTCAGGGGAGGTCAACCCACATTTGCTGCCATAAAACGAATATTGCATTTTTCCTAAAATTATGGAAATGTTTCTTTGTTTACAGGTATGGATTCGGTCTGGACGGTTCGCGGAGGAAGAACGCCACCCGCGAGACTACCTCCACCCTGAAGGCGTGGCTCAACGAGCACAAGAAGAACCCCTACCCCACGAAGGGTGAGAAGATCATGCTGGCCATCATCACCAAGATGACGCTGACCCAGGTGTCGACGTGGTTCGCCAACGCCCGCCGGCGACTGAAGAAGGAGAACAAGATGACCTGGGAGCCGCGTAACCGGACCGATGACGACGATGGTGATTCCGATGCCGAAGTCGCCAAGTCGGACGATGACACCAAACCAGAAAGAGAAGGTAAGAAGGGATCCGGGTTTTTTTTTAAACTAAAATAGCATTCCTTCTTTTTAATATTGCCTAACCAAATAATTAAAAGCACGCCTTCACACACCGTAATTCATACGCCACTGACTGCTAAATCACAGCTGCGTTTTTATCGAACCATATCGCTAAGTGCATATAAGCGTATCACAAAATTATCCCGCGCACCGACGGGGGGGGGGGCGGATATCCGCCCCCCTGAGGTTTTTCGCGAATAGCGGGAAAACCGCGGCGCGTAGCGCCGCAAAATTTGGTATGACTATAACCTCATCAATTTTACACATGGTGTGCAAGTTTGAACCTCCTACCTTTTAAGGGCAGGTCACCAGGTCACTTTGAATGACCCAGCCTCAAGTCACTTTTTTGCAAATTTGTCACCGTGCCAGAGCTACGTAGATGTCGGAGGCCTTTGAAAGTCGCAGGATATTATTAGGTCATTAGTAGCTACAATTTGTTTATCTCGGAATTTTGATATCGGTGACCTAAGGTCAGGTCAATTTCGCGACCTCCCATTATAAGTCAATGGGGGGAAAAATCAACTCCCTGTTTTTACCACTAAAACGGGTCGGAATGGCCCCATATACCATACATGACTTCATATACGGTCAACCTTCACTACTTGAGGTCTGTTTTGCAGTTGGGCAGCTGTGAGGTCATATGACGTCATCAAAGGTTACCAAAGGTTTTTGGCCAATAACTCCGTACAAGAACAAGATACAGACGCGTGGATGGTCTCATTGTGTTCAGCTCGTCAAGACGCATCGAATGATATACATGATGACCTCGAGGTCACGTGACCTGAGGTCAACCTTTGACCTTGACCTTTCGAGGTCAACATATATCATTCGATGCGGATTGACGAGAGGATCACGATGATGCCCTTAGTTTGTTCCTATCTTGACTAATTCGAAAGTTATTCGAGAAAAACTCTCTCCATATCTAGCGCCGCCATTTTGACTTTTTCGACCCCTGTGACGTCATCTTTGACCTGACCTGAAAATGACCTTTGTAAAAATTGTAGATCTTGGCCGTGCGTATCCGATGCCGTTTACCGCTTGTCGCTATCTTGCTTCGTTCTCGAGATCTCAGGGGGGGCGGTCATCCACCCCCCCCCCCCCCCGTCGGTGCGAAGTTGGCGCAGACCCCCGTCGGTGCGCGGGTTATAATGAGGTGTTGATTCCAAGCAGAATAACCACTACCCCTCGGGTAAGAGATAAGATATTGATAAGCCCCGTCCGATGCGGCATTATTTCCATTTCCAGGTGGCCCGCCACAGAACAAGTGTTCTCATGCTTTGTCTGTGCCGGGACGTTTGAAAACGCGTCACCTCAGGTGCGAACTTGTCAATTAGTCAAATGACGGGCCCACCGCAGGTGTGGAAGCCCCATCAAATTAGCTCCCCCTCCCAAATGGTGTTCGATGGTGTCTAAACACCTGGCCTCGCGTTGATGATTCTCTGGTTGTTAATCAGCCGGTGGATGTCACATCCACCCACACTGACTCATTGGGTGAAAAGAGTCATGACTCGAACCAGTTCTTGCTAACCTCTGACGCCATTGGACGTTTGATGACGTCAGTGGACGTTTGGTGACGTCGCGCTGCATTTGACAGTATGCCCAATGACGCTGCATTACAGCACCGCTGGATGAGTCCTCTCCTTATTGTCCAGTATCGCAGTTCGCCACTCCCGGCAGCCGCGCGGCCGCTCTGTTCCGTACAATCCAGTATGTCAGAGTCAGCGGCCAGTAGCCGGCTCAGCGGCCCAGCCCCGTCCGCGCGCGGCCACGCCCTCAGATCGGTATGTAAAGCCACTCCATCGGCCGCGGCGCGACACAGAACAATTGTGGGAAAGTTGGCAATTGTGCCGAGCCGCCGCCACTGTCATTTGCCGCCGGAACGAGGGCGGAGGACACCAACAAAGGGTGGCTAAACGGCTATTTATCGCAATCCCTGCATGGTAATCAGTGTTATCCGCGGAGTTAGCGAGTGGGCCGTCCACACACCTGAAAACTGGTGTTGGAGAGACCGCCAGACCGCATGGGTGGAGACCTCGATACAGCTGGCTTGTTTGGCGAGAAATCGACAAAGGATTTGCTAGCTGGGTGACCGTTAGACGACTCGTAATGACAAGGATCGACAAACATTTTATGGCTGGACCATCACGAATGGAGTTTAGATCAACTTGGCGCTGGGTTGGGCTGACCAGGGCCTTTTGCACAAGGCTGAGGCATCGGTACGGGTTGTTTGCGTCAATCCACGGTAGCAGTCGGCGGGCAGGATAATTGGAAGGGGCGGGCACTCGACTCTGCCCCTGTCAGAGTGAAGAGCTGAGGTGAAAAATCGAAGATCTATGAAGGAAGTAGAAAAGCGCAGCGGATCCTAGAATAAAAACTTGAAAAATAAATCATAACATCCATCATTATCTCGCAATGATGCCCTAATTTCCTTGCCAACTAAAGATTGTAATCCCACCGCAAGACCTAACCTAAACAAACCACCATTTTCTTGCTCACCTTCATCACAGCTTAAGAATACACAACTTCCCAGATCTCACTACCATAAACATCATAACTCGGTGAAAACTCCACCGGCCGCCGTACCCCGTCGATTGAGGGCCCGTTATCTGACATTTTCATGAACCCAAGAGGCTCTCGCGTGCTCTCACGGCGGCTGGAAGTAGCGCTACCGGCGACTATCACGGGTTGATTAACCTGTCGACCTCACCGGTGCCAGATTTCACCTGGTGCGTGGCTCCCCCGTGGCGGCACATCCTGGGTGCTGTTTATCCCAGATTGTGTCGAATTGCTCTTGTTGACCTCAGATGACCTCCCTCGGCTTTTGTGCACGAGTATCCGGTCCGCTTTGGATTTGTTCATGCCTGCCTTTCTTTTCCTTTGTGGTCCGAGCGTCCCGACCGTAAGTTCGACCTCGTGTGACCTATTTTGTTGGTTTGTGGGTGGGATTTGTTTAGTCGCATGTTTTGTTCTGGTTCACGTATTGTTCATACATCACATAGGCGGACGTGCCCTTAGCGCTTACGTTTGTAATTCAACTTTGAAATAATTCACTGATCTCCATGGAATGTAGCGTTGGATTTAGTACTGCTCCCGCACAGCCCTCAGTCGGCACCAGTGTCTGACCCTCTGTCGTTCTGTCTGTCCGCAGGTTCCCCCGCTGACCCGGCCGAAGACCGCGCCAGTCCCTCCGCGGAGGAGGAGGCTCAGTCGCCCGTGAAGCCCAGGATCTGGTCCCTGGCCGACATGGCCATGTCTGGCTCCTCACCAGCGTCTCGCCTGCCTCCCCTCGGACCTGCCTTCCTGCCGACCCTGCCCGGCGGCGGGAAGCTTCTTCTGCCGTTCCCTCGGCCCCACCACGCGCTGCCGTACGGACGACCCGAGTCCTCTGGCCGGGCACCGCCGCCGCCGCCGCCCCCGCCGGCCGCCGTCCGGTCACCGTCCCCAGACGGGTCAGCGGCGGGAGACAGTGACAGGGCGTAATGTCACGGAGCGCAGCACAACTGTGGACAGCAGGGATGTAACCAAATCACACTGACGGAACGCCTGGGGATCGGTCGGTGCGCGAGTGAGAGAGGTGCGCCCCAGGGGCGCCACAGCTGCTTTAATTTATTGTGCTTGGACAGCCTCCGCGGTGCTGGGAGGGGAGTGTGTCCCTTCCGTGGGGGCAGAGCAGTCCATGTTGTTGTTTTCTGAACTGGATGTCGTCACTGGCGCCGTCTCAGTTCCACCTACTAGCCAAATCAAAAGCAGCATTAGTGTGCACGTCACTGTTGTCTTTTCATAGCGGTTTATGCATTGTCCTCGCAAGATATTGCGGAAGATATTATTCGCATCTGTTTAGTGTATCGCTCCTGAATTGAACGCTAGGACTGCTACATGGTCTGTGATAATGAATATGTTGCGTTTGTTCTGCTGCTCTTCAGCAGGTCAACTATCTTTGTGCCTCTGATATGATGTACCCGGTCTTCAAACCGTCTCAGCAAGAATTCGTTGCAGCTTAGCTTTGTTTGGCTTTTACTTTTCTCGGTATTGCCAAGGCAGCACAACTTTGTGTTCAAATATTACACGTATCTTATGACATATAGCTCCATGTGTGTAGCGGACATGAAATATGGTTACGTTAGGAGCAGTAACGCATGACGTTCATTCCACGTATCAAATGTTGTGTGTTCTTGTAAAAACACATATTCAAGTTCCTTGTAAATAAACCTCATATGTTGTTTTCAACATTGTCTTTGTCATTGCACGAATCACGATGAGGAAAAAAGAAATCGCCGCTCGAGCGATGTCCGGCATTTGGCAGCATGATGATGACATCATGCTGCTAGTACGACCGCAACACGATTTCTCATCAAACACGATTCGAAAGCAAAGTCTGGTACGCGACATCCAATAAATTGCTAAGCCAATTTAACGTAACCAGACCTACATGCTACGTGGCTGCTACTGGGGTTTGCCATCCATTTCTGGCAACTGCGAACACGATTTCGTCCGATAACACTGTGTAATGACGAGCCAATTCCCATTCACACCCAGCCAAACAATGAGCGCCGTCGGAAAAATTCGCCGCGACACTGCCACTGAACGGTGGATCTCGGAAGGACGATCGGCGGCGCTCCGGACGGGTCCGTCTCGACGAGCTGTCATGACGAGCGGCGCATGTCGCCAGCCACGGGACAAAGCACGACGACGCGTCATCGATCCCTGTTCATTACCTCAGTCGGACGAGCAGCAGCGCAGACCACCTGCCGGCCGGCGGACGCGCTGTCAGATCGCGACTGGCGCGGGTCGTCGCGCTGCGTCGCCCGGCGCTGTTCGCGGCCGCTCGGGCGAGGGATGCTCGTCGCTCGCTTCACACGCTATTTCGGTCCGGTGTAATTAACTCGCAGACCGGCCGGACGAACACTGCGACTCGAGTGATGGCCACATACTGGCTTCTGTCCCCGCACACGCACACAGAGAACGGTATTGTCACTTGTCAGTGGACAGGTCGGGGTTGAGGACGGGTGGATGGAAAGTGAACATGGATCGACGCGTCCGTAACATCCAACGTCCTTGCTTGCCTGTCGTACAACTGGGTGAAACATAAGTGGGTGGTGACAATCGTATTCATTATGCACCCATATTGCATACAATGGTATAATGTGGCAATGTGACGTGTGCTAAAAAATAGCTGCAGGGAAAGTTTTATTTGAGTTCACATCATAATAAACTCTACGAAAGCCTGCCACACATTGAACGAGGCAGTCTAAGCTGATTCGAAGGTTTCGATGACATTTTAAATCAAATCAAGTGAATTTCATGGCGCCACCTGTCAAATGAAAACACGATAGTTTCAAAACTGATCAAACTTTGCAACAGTTTGTGACTTTTGATAGGCTATGCAGCTGCTGGGCTGAGAGCCTAATTCCATTGATAAATCGTCTTACCAATATATGCCTTGCTGACAACTTGTCAGGGTGATTGATGTTTAAATAGCCAAGTTCTGTTGCGATGTTGGATAAAGCTATGCATCATTTTCGCATTCATTTGCACATATGAAGCAGAGCTACGGCAACTTCGTCCAAAACTTCCTTTAATAACTTTTTAATGCAATCAAATTCATCTTCACTGAGTGCTAGACGCGGCACATTTCTTTTCGTCTTGTGGGCCTAATTTATACACATGAAAAAGTTATTAGCATACATCAAAAATTCTAATAACGGCGCGTCGACAGCCCGTGTTGACACTTTTTAATTTAAAAACGGCAACCAACTGAGGAGACTCAGGCTGCTTCACGAGCACACTATTATCACGGGCAACATGGAAATCTGTGCAGTGTGCAGACATTAATATTCATAAAGAGTTAGCTTGCGATAAATTCTGAAGTTGTTGAGACTGTGGAGACTGGATAGCTTTTAGCACAGGTAAATATACCTAACGAGGTTATCATCATTTCACAAGGTGGTTACTTTGACTACACGCGCAGCACATAGTATTCAGATGGGGCAGGGGTGTCCTAAAATAGTCGGTCTCGCTCCGCCGCCCCTGTACGTGCTCGTTGACACATCCCAGCCACCTCCCGCAGACTCGCGAGGCTCGCCCGGTACCCACTCCACCCACCCCCGACCCGAATCCTGGCGATCCTTGGACCGTCCGCAGCGGGCCAGACCACCCTTATCTCCCCGCGCCGCCGCGCCGGGAGCTCCGCGAAGCCGCGACGTTCTCGACGCGACGGTACCGACGCGGCGCGCGCGGCGGTGGCGACGATCTGACAATACCTGGCACCGGTACAGGAGCGGAATGCGTGTAATACATTGCCGGTGATAGAGTTATTAGACTGTGCCGACAGTGACCGATGGGGTATTTGTAAACGAGGTCCCGGCGCGGCGTCAACGAGGTGCCGGCCGGCGCGTCGAAGTCGACGACGGCCTGCGTCGAAACCGACGACGGCTCGCGGCGGGGTGGTCGGCAGGGAAGACCGATCGGCGGCAGCTGGCAGAGGTCGACCGATGGGGGCTGGCAAACGATGGACCACAACTGGCACTGAAAACTGGACGCAGATTTGAATCACTTCCGCTGGGAGTACCCTGCAAAGTCTAGCTTAGAGAATCATGGCATTTTACGGGCCTCACATTGGTGCACTATTTGACGATGAAAGAGCGAGTTACTCTCGTGCAATACCATAAACATCGTTTACGTAATTTGACGTTATCTAGGCTCATATAAGGTATGTCCTAGCACAGTTCGTGACAGTTAAGTCAAGCTTATGCCAGATCAGGTGTTAATACCCCCGAAATCCTGACACAGTAGTTGATCCTACCAGGTAATCTCTTACACATACAACACCCAACGTTGAACCTAGAGCCCTAAAATAGCTACCCAAATGAACCAACCGTTCGATAAAACAAGGTTAACAAAGCAATGTTAAATTGACGGACCGTGTCGGGGCGGCAGTCCATGCAGCTGAGTGACATCTTCGCCCCGTATCGCCCCGCTCCAGCATCAATGGTCGAAGGCGTCATCCGAGGTGCGCCAACTCATTAGCAAGTCCACAGAAAAACACTTAAACAAGAAAACTGAAGACAAAAACGGCGCGCAGATAAACACGCAGCGTGGCCGGCGCGGCGGCGGCGGCGGCGCGCGCCGGCCGTGACGTCCCCCCCCCCCACTCCCCCCTCCGAACGTCACGTCACCCGCCGACCCGACCCCTGACCGACGGCTCGTTAGCCAAGGAGAAAACGCAGAAAAAGCTGGCGGCAACAAATGGAAACTGGAGCGGCTCCAGACGAATGATGGGTGAACGCTGTGGCTGCCCGGGTGAGACTTCGTCTGGGGCGCGTCAGGGCACGTCTCCGCACTTTCCACACGTCTGCCGGACGTCCCCGGTACGTCCACCACATGGACGTTGCGCTCGGACATCGCACGTCAGTTTAGCCAAGCACCCCCATGTCCGCTGCACGTCCAGTCCAGCGCCTCACGTCCGGCCAACGTCCGCCACGTCCGGCTGACGTGTGTACTACGTCCTGCACTGCCGTGTGTACTACGTCCTGCACTGCCGTGTGCACTACGTCCTGCACTGCCGTGTTGCACAGGCCCAGGCTGTCACTGTCCATCACAGTCAGTGCGCTGGAATAATTAGCGTGGTGAGATAATCCCACCAACGCCATGTCCGGGAACGGATGAGGCCGCTGGTTCATGACAATGCAGCACACAGGACATGATATGCGACGGCATGTTTACTCGTAGTACCTTGCAAACAGCGAAGAGACTGCGGTGAAATTTTGCAAAGGAATGGTAAATGGATCCGGGGCTAGAAATGATACCGTTCAATGCCGCTGCATGGGTTATGTTTCTTTTCTTTTGAATTATGAGCCTGACTCACCAAGCATCTGACTGACTCTCTTTCTTACGTATGATCCTATGACATAGGAGGTATCAGACTTGTCCATTCTGGCTAAGGATGCGTCTGACTATTGTGTTCTCTACTCAGAATATGTCCCGTTTCCTCTGCCACAGAAACAACATTATTTTGACCTATGTCAGATACATCTGACACAGATTTCTGGCAAATTTACTTAAGCTAATTGAATTTGACCAATGGGATATTGTGAACCGTCCTCTGGTGTTGGATGTTTGGTTCTAGCGGTGACTATCGCAACTCAGTTAGATTAAACCCCCAAATCAGAGAGAAAATTAAGCAAATCGAATCGTATTTCGACTCAGGCTAGATCAAACAAGCTGACAGCACAAATCCCGCATTGATGGCCAGTGAGGAAGACGCAACTGCTGCCTTCCCTCGTCGAGAAGGGCCGGAGTTGTTGGAGCGAATAGCGCAAATGCCGGCCACTGGCCGAGGACAATAGATCTGCCGTAATCCGAGCGAACTACATAGACACGCGACTGGGCGCATCAGCGCCGCCGCTGAGCGCACACAATGCTTCCTTCCATCGCACCGGCGATGGTCGGGCAATCCGTGCTCGCCATGAGCTCAAACAATGGCCACCGGGGCTATTGGGGAAAACGGTCGTTAGGTTTTTACTCGTTTGTGCGCGGTCACGACTGTTGTGAGAGAGCTGGACCTGGCGACACGAGTCATCATAGCCGTGACCACCGCCATTTTGAGCTCTAACAAAGGAGAAGAAGAGAGTGATGTCCTTTTTGCGTGTTAATGATCTAGATGGTTCGCCTAGCGGCAATCAGAAGAAGATTGCATGAATATCGGTGCTGCTTGGTTGCTATAGCATGACACTAGCGATATTGATAAGTAAAAATAAAATTTAGAGCAGTTGGTGATCACTGATCAATCGAGATGCAAGAGAATTTCAGTCATTTTGTTGAAAGAAAATCATTACTTTTCGAAGATATGCATTGCATATTGTAGCAGCTTTGCTTTTGAGGAGGCTTAGAGTTGGGTATAAGCATGCATTTCCTGCAAATACGGAATTTGTCCTTCCTTGTTCTCTCATTATCTTTTCTGAGGGCACTTGGTACAGAGGTTTGTCATGCTCTGGCTATTGAACTCGTAACTTGGATGGCAAGAGTGTGGAAAAATGTGAATTTAATTGCTGACATGATTGTTGATCTATTTCTGTAAACATTGTTCGAATGGTGGTATGTAGCTACAATGGAGCAGGTTAAAAACTGCCACTTTTACACCTAGCATGCATGCATCCGGTACAGTATCTGAGAGCTGATACAACAGTTGGTATTGTTAACGAACAGAGTGCAGTAGTAATGAAACAAAA